GTCTAAGTATGTACCAAGTCTGAAATCAATTGGATTTTAAAAAGTGGCAAAGTGGATTGGTAGAAGAAACGTGTGTTAAACCTATGGAGAAAAAGTCTGAAAAAGGAGAAGAAAAAAAAAAAAAAGAAGAAAAAAGAAAAAAAAAAATCTTAACGAAAACAAGAGCTGTTTCGGTGTGTTACCGAAACAGCTAATAATGCATAAGAAATCAACCGTAAGCGTCCGCAGCATTCTGTTGCCGGCAAGTGGTAGAGTAGGTTGAGGTCTTTATTACATTCAGTGTGCGTGAAATCACGTGACCCTTGCTTCCGGTCGAAACCGGAAGTGGCTTATTATTTAAAAGTGGTAATAGATATGAACTTGCTTTTAACGGTGTTAGTCTCTTGGCTGATAGTATTCTTCAAATCATCTACCGATGACGTCATGCAATCTTCGAGCACCCTCTAGCGACAGGTTGAAAATTTTCAAAAATGTATTTTGAATAGATGTCTGTGGCGAAGTTTGTCGGAATCGCCTAAATATTGGTGTATATGATGACCTTGACCCACTTAAGACGTGTGCGAAGTTTTAGGGGTATGACGTCATCAGACCGGCAGTTATAATAAAAAGACTCTTTTTCATTTGAAAATTCCTGAAAAATCAACCATGGCAGTTTTTGTATTAGTTTTTACTTTAATTGTTGATTAAAGGGTAGGTCTAAAAAAAAATTCAAAGCTTCGAGGCAGTAAGCGAACTCGGACATGCCCTGCGCATGCTTAAAACTTCAGGTTGACAATACCTCGGCTTTAAAACATGCACAGGACGTCCACAATGTACATGTATATGTACATGCACGTACGTTGTACATACGCACATACATCGTATGTCAGTCAGCCCGCAGAGCACGTGTTGCCGAGGTCAAATCCTGTCCACAGTGACCGTTTTAGCCGATTTTCGGCTAACTTTGACAGATTTTATGTTCATGCATACGCATAGTCAGGAACGTATAATTGATAAAAGAAATCATAATGCAGAAAAGCCCTATGTTACGTATTTAAAGGTGCAGTTTTTCTGCAGTGGGTTTTTCCAAAAGTCTTTTCCTATATAACACTGATATCTTACCGTGTAGTTCTGAACTTCGGCCAAGAATTACTATGAGAAGGACAGAGAAATCGTATTTTTTTTCGCGCTGTCATTTGATTAAAAATATTCCCAAGAGTCAAAATATCAAGTAATATTTCATAAAAATGTTTCAGTTTAAAGGCAATCACGTGTTTAAAGGTGCAGTTTTTCTGCAGTGGGATTTTTTTATTAAGCCCATTGACTTTGTAGACGTTTTCAAGCCACCATTTTTATAACATGGCGATCTAAAATCGTCATCAAAGTTACAGCCAAGGAAGACCCTCATACAAAAATTATGCCAAGACTATGACGTCATGATGACGTCATCACCTAATTTGTTATTGATTTTTGAAAATTTAATTTTTTCCCATAGGTTTTGTACACGTTTTTTTATACTGTTATTGATCTTGCTGAGAGGTTCCTCAACTTCAGCCGGGAATTAGTATGTGAAGGAAAGAGAAATCAGACTACATTTTTCCTTTTGTTCGATTACAAATATACCCAAGAGTCAAAATATCAAGTAATATTTCATTTTTCAGGTTACACGCATATCACAGGACTTGAATTTATAGGTGCAGTTTTTCTGCATGGGATTTTTTTAGCCCGTTGACTTTGAACATGTACATGTTTTCAAGGCACCATTTTCCTCACTTAGCAATCTTGAATGGTCATCAATGTTACAGACAACAAAGACCCTGATAGAAAATTGATGCCAAATTTATGACGTTATTATGACGTCACCCTGTTATTTCTTATTAATTTTTTCCTTTACAACACTGATATATATAGTTCTGCACTTCGGCCGAGAATTACTATGAGAAGGAAAGAGAAATCGTATTTTTTTACGCTCCTGTCATGATTGAAAATATTCCCAAGAGTCAGAATATCAAGTGATATTTTATAAAAATGTTTCAGTTTAAAGGCAAATCACGTATTTAAAGGTGCAGTTTTTTCTGCAGTGGGATTTTTTAGTCCATTGACTTTGTACACGTTTTCAAGCCACCATTTTTATAACTTGGTGATCTGGAATCGTCATCAAAGTTACAGCAAAGGAAGACCCTCATACAAAAATTATGCCAAGACCTAATTTTTTATTGATTCTTGAAAATTTAAAACACTTTTAAAACACTCCACTTTGGCACCTTCGTAAATCCGATCGACTTTAGACTTGATACAAACTTAGACCACCACCCACAGACTGTCCTAGAAGAAATTCGTGATTGTGACGTCTTTAGGTGTTAGGTTACGTCACATTAAAGATGCATTTTTCCCATAGGTTTTGTACATGTTTAAAACACTCCACTTTGGGCACTTTCGTAAATCTGATCGACTTCAGACTTGGTACATACTAAGATCACCACAAACAGATTGACTTAGAAGAAGAAATTCATGATCGTGACGCCATCAGGTGTCAGGTTACATCACATTAAAGATGCATTTTTCTCCATTAGGTTTTATACACGTTTTAAAACACTCCAGTTTGGCACCTTCGTAAATCCGATCGACCTTAGACTTGAAACATACTTAGAACACCAACCACAAATGGTCCTCGAAAAAATCGTGAGCATGACATAATCAGGTGTCAGGTTACATCACATTAAAGATGCATTTTGTCCCACAGGCTTTGTACACGTTTTATAGCACAATGCTTTGGTACTTTTGTAAATCTGATCAATGCTAGACTTGGTACACACTTAGACTACCACCCACAGATGGTCTTAGAAGAAATTCGTGATCGTGACGTCATGAGGTGTTAGGTTACGTCACATTAAAGATGCATTTTTCCCCATTGGTTTTGTACACGTTTTTCTTCAAACCATACACTTTTGCACTTCTATATGTCTGATTGACTTTACATTTGTCAGACACTAGTAAGACCAGTAGCTAGTGATGCCCCTTAAAGGGGCATTTTATTCTCTGTAGGCCTATATCTACAGAACTATAATGTTCGATTAGGTTGTAACATGTACATGTACGTATTATAATATGCTGCTATAGATGACATCACTGATTGTTCATCATGTGCACAGAGTATTTCAAATATCCGAAACAGCTTGTGTTTGTCCACAAACACATTTCTAGTTTTTAAGTGACGTTGCAATAAAGGCAGGCAATGAGTACACCACCATCTTTTCCTCAAAAAACATTAGTTAAAATGGTCAGTAATTGCCTCAGATCGCACCACAGCAAGCCCCGAACCCCACCCCTAATTTTTTTTGACACACTTTTGGGGGGTCCAAACATTTGTTTTGCCCCCCCCCCAAAAAAAAATTGTGTTCTGGATCCGCCATTGTGTAACCACACGGGGAAAAAATCGTATTGGTGATTGGGTGATCCGGGAAACCGGTAAAATCAGGAGGGTGTGCGCCGGGCTTAAGTTAACGCTATGTGGATGTGGGGAAAGCGGACAGCGATTATTACAAAACAGCATCACTAAATTTATTTCTGTTGGATCAAGTCAGCCAGATATAAATTATGATAACTTGTGCAGTGCCCGTTCAAAATGTGCCTGTTTGAAACAGGCACATTGCTTGGCCTCCGGTAGACCCGCAAACGTGGCGGTATAGAGTGCAGTGCCCATATAACAGCGCGCCATATCTACACCTGACCATTATGCGATCCTCCCCTTCAAAAAATGGTCAAGGCCCACCTCATCATTGCACGATCTTCCCCCTTCAAGAAATGGTCGAGCCCATACAGCCAACCACCATTTCCACATGTATGTATACCCATGGTGCAGTATAGAGTGCAGTGCCCACTGAAAATGTGCAGCAGTGCGAGGCGCGGTCTGTATACATGTTTGTATGGTCTGGTATTGCTGCTTTTTTGCAGCTTTTTGAGAACCGCTCATCCAAACAACTTCAAATTTGACAATGTACATTCTGGGGCCCTGAGCAATACACCTGCCGATATTCAACTTCATACAAGTGCCCGGTTCTGGAAATAATCGAAATAAAGACACAGACAAACAGAGATTCTTAGAATTATAGTAAGATACTGGATGGCTTTTTTGGGGATAATAATAATATTGCACAAGTCAGAACGAGTGCATTATTACAGCCATCCAATATTATATAAATGCTTCCAAGTTATTCTGTTCATTTAAAAAATATGTTATTTTGTTCATTTTAAAAATATCATAGACAATGTGTTCATACATTTACATGTATTTCCTTGTTGTGAAACCTTGGCCTTAAGAAGCTGAGGATATAAACATGGCCTATGAAATTGCGATAGTCTGATGTGTACCACAGATGTCCGTCCTGTACAACACACGACTTTGTCCTGTGTGACAAGTAGTTTTTGCTGTACTGAGATAACATAATATGATTGGACTTGTACAGAATCAATGATCTAGATGTTCTTGAACTGCATACAACGTGACATAAAATGAAATGACTGACTAGAGCACTGTTTCAGTACAAATTATGACATTATTCAGAGATGTCCCGTACGACACATTTTGCCTGCCCCATAGGACACGTTGTCCTTAATTCTGTAAATTGTTCTTATTCTCTAAAAACATTTTGTACTTAAGAGATCCTAGTATCTGACCTTTGTTTAGACCTTTCACAATGTTTTAAAGTTGGTGACGAGAATTTGTCATTGATCAATTCACATAGTTTTTAACCCAAATTCATTGTTGAGAAAAGTGACTTTTCTGCAACAATATCCTGAAAAGTAAAATCTCAGCCAAATTAAATATTGAGCAATAATGCCTAGTGGTTATCACTCTTTTACTGTGCCCCAAGATTCTTCAGTATTCCAATACTTTCTAAACATGCTTGGAAACAATCGTGATTGTCCCGTATGACACATGGAATAGCCAGGGATGAGGGTTGATGTTTTTACCATGTTTCATTCAAAATTAATTATCCATTCAAACTAAAGAAACTTACATTTTGCTCTTAATTTTTTTCTTTCGATGACACTTGGCTTCATAGTATGACAAAAGGGCCTGTGTTTTCTGCAGCTCAGCCCGGCGCTCTTTAGCCTTCATAATTTAATGGATAAAAACAAGAAATAGTGAGTAATACCAAAGAAAATGCCTAGTTACCATAACCATTCACATGACTTGACATCACTATTTCATTGATGTCACTTAACCTTGAAAACCCGATGCACATCTTTGTTTTAAAAGGGGGGGGGGCGTTGGGTTGGACCCAAGGAACCAAACAATTTGAATTTATCAGTGATGGTACTTGATTATAAAATTTGATTAATTTTCAAAGGTATCGGTAAGCAATTAAGTAATTCAAAAAGATGTTAACTGCTGAAAATTTTTATAAAATATTGTTTAAATTGTAGAGTTGACCAATAAAACAGAATAACACAGTCCCGTTTTTGTCAAGTGTGCATGATTATCTAAAAAAAATAATTCCTCAGACATTTTTTGTCTGGCACCCACAAAAATGAAAAAGAAAACCACGTTATTGGTTCTTCAACGAACAAAGATTCCTCTTGCCATACATGTAAGTACCTGTATCTGTTAAAAGCATTCTAAGTGCATGTACATACTTGTACAAGTCTGCAAACAGTCTTTCATAGTTGCACCTATCAACTCACCCCTTCTAGAGTAATGGATGCAAGTGTTTCTTCTTCAGCAAGTGTCAGTTCCTTATTTGGTCGTTCACTGTGCTTACTGCCATGGAGTAGCTTGTAAACTTCTTGTTCCAAAGGAGTGCTTGGCTGATGATGAATATGATGAAATCAACATGATTGAATGTGCATGTTTATTTTTACCCTTAAAAGAATGGTATCATGGTTGTACGTTAAAACCATGCCTATTTCCATGACATAACACAACTCTATTAACATCAATTTACCTGGGTCACATGGAACGTTCATTGACATCGTTATTGTTTTCTTTAGGTTATATATGTAATGTATTGATGCCTATGATCCCATAATGAATTTTTGTTTTTTGCTTTTCTGTTGGGAAGTCATTGTATGTGATTTAAGCAAACTGACTGGATATTTTCAGTCTTAAGCAAGACATTTCTCAAAGGCAAATCCTTTGAGCATAATCCTTTGAGCATTTACAAGGCCTACATGGAAATAAGAATTTTTAAATAATCAAAAGAAAATATGGTTCTTTAAATAAGCTTGAGTTATCATCATGACATCATTTCTTTGGTTTTTAATAATGAAAACAGTTGGCCTATGGGGTCAACCTACGGAGATACATGTACATGTACTAGGGTGCAAGTCCCAAGTTTTAGTAATACATACATACATGTGCATGTGTTTGTTGAGAAAACTTTTTCTGTTGTTTCAATTAAAAATATGACTGTCCAAGAAAAAACGGTTGAGAAGCCACATTGATAATACAAAAAACAAGTATAAACAGTGTACAGGCCACCTAATATTTAAGTGAGAGATTACATTTGCACATGCATACTGGTTTGGTAAAAAAAACAAAATTCTAATAAAATAAAATCCTATTGTTTTAATCCTAATGACCTTGGCCTTTGTCTTATGGGGTCCAAACTTATTCACTTTCTATAAGTTATACTAGCAAGCTACCTTCATTGTATCAAGGCTCAAGACATACATGGACATACAATCCAGATATCACTGTGGAACCAAATGCACATGCACACACGCACCATTACACAGGCATAGAAGTGGGGTACTTCTTTTGTTCTCTGTACTAAAATTTTGTAAAGTCGCGCACTTATTTCAAAATGCTCTTATTTTAACCAGAATTGATTTCCTGGGCTGAAATTTGGACTTAATATCCCTTTTCTAAAACTCTTCCATTTGTAACCGATCAACCCACCTTTGAAATTCCTAGTTTTTGAATAAAATCCATATATCTATATCATGAAAAACTTGTGGGGTACCACTTTAGTACCCCACAAGGTCACATGGCCTTGTGGGGTACCTCCCATTGTTCCGGTACCCATAAGGCAGTGTTTATACACGCACAGGGACGGACAAGGCGGAAACAGTATGCCCCTTCGGCTTCGCCGGCGGGGCATAATAACAACATACATGTATGTCAAAATAGTGTCCAGCCCCGCCCCACCACCCTGCATTTGTCACAAAAAAAGCTAAAACCTCTCGTTATTAGTTATATCAGGCCTTTTTTCACTTCCACATCACATAACTTTGATACTATACCCGCTAGCATAAGATTATCCAGTATCTCAAAATCCATTCCCATCTTCTTAGTTGCTTTCAAAGTATTTTCGACATTTTTGTTTCTCGAGATTTCATTGAATTCTTTGCTTACTGAATCAAATCTTGCATCGCTGGAAGCTGTCATTTTGTTGGCAAACAATGTATGCTTCTATGCGACCATACCGCTACAATCCATTGACTGGTTGAGAATTGCGAGTTTTTATGCTCTTGATTGAGCGGGAACCAGTAAAATGCATGTCGATAAAATGAAATGCCTGGATGTCTATGCAACAATTGAAATACAATGCATACTGCAAGCAATATAGCAAAGAGTGCAGGAGCCATGACAGTTTCTGTATAACTTATGATTATTCAACCCTTTAGCGGAAATAGATCTGTATCCTAGAGTCTGAGAGGCATGATTTCTGGAATGTTAAATCTTTGACTTTTGTTCATCACCCAACCCTGTAGTTAGTACAGATTTGCCCATGAGGCGCGATCCAGGGATGTTTTTCTTATTGATATTTATGATTACATAAGGGTGTTAAAACCAAGAAAATCATCAGAAAAATGTTACTTTTGAAAATCAATTTGAAATAGTAGGAATGATTAAAATCAGAAAAGCTTGATCTTTATAAACTCTTTACTGGCAAAAAAAGATGACAACAGTAAGTTTTTGTTGCCTTTCCGTAATGTCATAAGTTTGTTTTGAAAATCGGGAGGCTTATGGCCAAATCTCTGCATAAAATACATAAAGCTTATGCTGGGGTTGTGTTGATCATGGTATGGCTTTAGATATGTGCATGTAATGGGCCAATCAGAAGATGGGAAACCAGATCCTGCCAAAACCACATGAGAAAACAAGTCAGGTGTGTTTACAAACACAAATGCCCCACAACCGTGACTGTTCCCATGACATAACACCAGCTCTTTTGACATCAACTTACATGTACATGTACTTTGGTTACATGGAACGTTCATTGACATCATTAGTGTTTTCTGTAGGTTTTATATGAATTAATCCCTATGATCTCAGAATAAACACAAGATTTCTATTGTTTTAGCCACTGTGACCTTGACCCTTCGGCCCCAAATGCAATAGGCTTCTTAGGATTACCAAGAACAATCCACAAACCAAATTTGAAGTTCATATGTTAAGTATTTCTCAAGTTATCGCGCTGACAAGATTTGTCCAGACACACACACCCACCCACCCACCCACGGAAGGACAAGGCGGAAACAGTACGCCCCTTCGGCTTCGCTCCGGGGCATAAATATTGCAGCCAGCTGAGCAGTGAATCAAAGATGATATGCTCATAGTTCACGAGAGAAAACCTCCAGAAACCACCGGCAACAACAGGATACACAGCAGTTTGATTTGAATTCCTCCCTATGACTAAAAAATGGAATGAAGGTGTCACAAGTTTAATTGGAGATAACAATTTCAAAAGCAAACCTGAAATGTTTTCACAAATTGATCTGTGGTTTGAAGACCAACTGTTGCCTGGTTCAGAGGAAAGGACATGTGTTCTGATTTCCTGTTTGTTTGTACCACCTGATCCCATCTGGATACCTCCTTTACAGCAGCTTCATAAGCCACCGATCGCTGAACCTGTGGTAAAGAAATAAAAAGGTGTGTATGTGTAAATGGAACAACTCCTAGATTAATATTCCAAATTGGTTTATGAACCTCACAAATACAACCAATGACCACTCTTTTCAACTTTTAACTCTAATGCTATGTGATTTTTGCATGAAATCATGATTTAAACTAACCATCAAGCACTTGAAATATCAACTCAAGTAGGTCTTTGGTCAGATGTCTGCCAGCATACAGCACTGTAACTAACCTGAATCTCTGATGCAGGGCTTGGAATGCACTTTTGTTCTCATCTTCTTCTTGTTTAGCCTTCTTGGGGTTTTATACTCCAATTTTTGGAAAAAGTGAACTTATCATTCTTGACCATGAGACGTTCTTTTTTAATAATGTGCCAAAAAATGGAAAAGTGCTCTCATGTATAGCAATAGTACATGTATGAGTTATAAAATTACAAAATACAACTAACATCCAGTATCATCCTGAAAAAGGGCTCTCCCATGCTTATTTTGTGTGATACCCGGAAAATTTCCCGCAAGTGAAATTTAAAGACCAACTCTAAAGATGAATGAAAATGTCTAGAATGCTGTGCTTTTTTTTTTACACCTATTGGTAAATAAAATTTAAAAAACAATAAACAAGTACAATTTTGAAAACAAATGGTCACGGGGGACAAAACCATGGTAACTTGTGTTACATTTAACAGAGATCTTCTGTAGACTTTGTGATGTTATTCTATAAAGTCAAAGCATTTAAGGTGGATTTTTCTAAATGAAGATCCCTTGAAGGTAAGACAACAAACTACAACAAAAGAGGTCAACAAAATGCATTCCTGTTGGTGTGGAATATCAATAACTTGTATTACAAAAAAGGACATGGCAAAAAATATGTGCCTTGCATTTGAACATTTCCTTATACTGTACACTTATGGAATAATCTTGTCAGTGCCCTTACATAATTATGGTTAAACTAATGACACATGTACCATAACAATTATTTAAAAAATAATCTCTAGAGAAAAATATATTTTGGTAACTCGCGTTACAGTTTGTCTGCCCATGTGGCCTATGCATCAGCTACATGAACGATCCATGATGCATGTCGGCGAATGCTTGTCGCTTAAGACGAGGTATCGGATAATACAAGATAATGTCATAAGTCCCAAGGACCTCGTATTAATGAGAGTCGACTGTACATGTATGTCTCACTTCGCTCATTTTTTCGTTGACAGGGAGGAGGTTGAAGGAAAAACTTTTACAGTACATGTATGTACGTAAAACTAAAAATACAAAATTTAGCCTAACTTCATGGTTCTAAAAGGTAAACAAAATTTGGGTCACAATAAAGCACTATTCTTGCATTTTGGTAACAGTAGCTATACAATTCTAGTTAAATACTTACTTTTTCTGCATCATGTTTGTGTAGAGGTGTGGTAAGAACTTTTTGATTTTTCTGAAAACTATTAAGCTGTTTTTTGAGCTCCGAGTGACTTGGTGTATTAGCTAGAGAACTCATCAACTCATGCATCTTCACAGGTTGGCTTCTGTCTGCAGATGTTAAAAGTGCAACATGTTCAAACAAATTAATAAAAGAACTCATTTTGTCTCCTTTGTCTTAGTTTTCAGTGCAGAATTCTCCCCAAATCTGCAGGTTTCTTTTTTATTCCATCCAAGACAATACCAACCCTCTGATTTGTTGGATACGTATTTTGCTTTACATAATCACTCTTATTCATAAAATATACGTTTAATATTGGGTTTTACCCTTCACCAACATATATTTTTACAAACACTGTATGCTCAGTGTTGTCCTGAGTGATTGTGGGAAAAAGTCCACAAACTGCTTACTAGTGCAGATGTCTTTCCACTCGACCACCGAGCTTACCGGGGTTGGCTGGCCGGTTTCAAATCTGATATAGCATCGGGAACTGCAACCAAACTACTCGTAATCACTCAAATGGTAAAAAATGCATCACGGACTGCATCCAGGGTTTACAGAGTGCATCCAGAATTTGTCCAATGTCACACATAACTGGGACAGGAAAAAAGTACTAGGCACTTGGTTGGTTCTTCTCCTAAATACTCCTCAAGTGAGTTTTAACAGGAGGCCAGAAACACCCTTCTCTTAGCGATAAGTGTTTCCGGGTTCTTTTACGTGCATTGCATTTACACAGGACCTACGGCTTTACATCCCATCCGGAAGACGAAGTAATAATGGTTAGGTGCCTTGCTTAAGGGCACAAGTGTCCAGACCCGGGCTTGAACCCACATTCTGTTGCCTCTGCAACACCAGAGCATGAGTCCGGTGTGGTGCAGCCTCGACTCCATGGGCGCGTGCGCGTTCCTTGACTAACCCCTGGCCGTGATGAACACGTAAACGACGCTGACCGGCTATTCAGAGCGTATTCAGAGCGCATTTCGAAGACTGCACGCCCTATAATGCGCTCGCTTAATTTGCTGGTCACGTCACGTACGAACTTTTTTTTTCAAAACTGCGCGATGCCTGTACGATATGGGTTATGGCAGACTCGTTTTTCGCCAAAAAAAACCTGTATATTCGGTTGTAAAGGGACGAAAGAGGTACGTACATTTAATACAAATCCTTGCTAAATAACACAACGTCGAAACCTTATGTTTGAAAGGATAGATTCTTAAAAAAAAAAAAACTTTCAACATTTTAAACATGGCGTTGCACATTAGATACATCGACTGCAGTCCTAATTTAAATGTGCTACTATTTGACACATTTAAATTAGACAATTCCAGGGGTTAAGATCGCGCAAGGCATGATGGGAAACAACATGGCGAAGCAAGATTGTACCCATGGAAACGAGGTTGGGTGTGGTGCTCTTAAACGCAAGGCCATGACACTCAACTAGGCCACGACAATCCACCCCAAATCTATTGTTGAACCCCAAATTATAGAATGACCAATATGCACACAAAATTTGACCAGTTACAGCAAAAGACCATTACGTCGCCACCACCCTACATACCCGGCAAAGTGACAAAATGCAAATGTATACTCTCCCTTTTTCCCGTTAATTGTCACCAAAAAGATAAACGGGGAGGGATTTATCGCACTTAGCGCTCTGTGCTGGGAAAAAAGGGAAGTATACATTTGTATACTTTTCCCTTTATAGGGCATTGCTTATGGTAGGTTATGGAATGGTCTTTTGTTATGCGCAGCAGCATTTGTGTGCATGCACAATGGGAATGCATTTGTGGGCATCAGAGGCAATGAATGTTACATGTAGTAGCAATAAAATGTTCTATTGTTATTAAGACTCTTGACTTCACCGGTCATTTCGTAACCGTTGTGCATATTTTTTGTGAAATGAGTTGGTAAGTAAGTTCAGTTAAGATTCTTCTTCTTTCCAAAACTTAACAGAAGTTTTTCTCAATGTTGTAGTACTCGGTACTCGTACTCAAGTACAATGCAAGTACTTGTTGAAAACATTCGTATTCACACTCATTACTCGCATTCACACTCACACTCAAATTCATGGTACTCATATTGAAGAAGCAAACTTCTTTGACTCAACTATTCGATATCATACCCCATCATCAAAGTACTTGTACTCGAGTATAAGGACTCGGGGAAAATTCGAATAAAGTTTTTGCATTCAAGAAGTTTTGCTACAAAGTAGTCCGTAACATCCATGTTGCTGAATTTGTGGTTTCAGTTTCCACTCCTTGCTTGAAATTTTGTTTTCACTGAAATATTCTGTAAAGTATTCATACTCACAGGACCTAGTACTCATACTTGCACTCGTTCCAATTACTTGTACTTATACTCGGAGGTCCACAAAACTTGAACTTGAAGGCTTGTATTTGAATGTTCAAGTACTTGGATTCGGGTACCTGTACTTTACTTTAATCGTCAAGGTAATCAGATTTGAGTTCCACTCAAAAGCTTGATACTCGGCAATACTTTGTACTCGGATAGAAGTACTCAGCTACAACACTATTTTTTTCTCTAATGGAAAAAGCAAAGTGTTGATGTTTACCATTTCTCACATCAAACATGCATCATCAAATGACAAAGAGAAATTTAATTCGTTTTTGTACCCTGTGTGTTAAGAAAAAAACATTATGCCTACCATCTCCACCAGTGAAGTTGAACTCTGAAACTTCTTGACTTGCCTCTGACCGCTCCTTTGTTTTAAGCCTATAAATCAAAACACAATCAAACATAAGACAGAATACATGCAGTGTGTTTCCCCTTTCTATTGGAGCAAGTTACCAATCCAAAAAGATGTACATAGTTTTTTTCATCAAATTACACTTCCCACCACCATTCTCAACGTTTCTTTTGGGGTTTTAGGCTGTTAGCATCAAACAAACAGTTATCGTGACATGCTTGAGAATGCAGACCTCATAAAGTGTCAAATTAAAAACAGAAACCATCAACAAAGCCAACCTTTTTTTGCTGGTCCCAGAGAGACCATCATAAAAAATCTGTATTTGTACTTTTACAGTAATAGCTCAAAAGCATGCTTTAAAATGCCTTCAGACATCACTGCCTGCATTGTGTCATAACTACTGCAGACAATGCATGAATATGCACTTCAAAAAGGATTGTGTTTCTATTGAAGACAAAATGGGATGCTGCGTAGCACTAATACACAAGTATAGGAAAATATATTAACCCTAACATACCAAAATCCAACAAAATCCACACCCCTGTTTTGGAGGATTTCAGCGGAATCAGGATACCTCCCTATTGTTGGGGGATTTTGATGGATTCAGGACAGTAAGCCTATCGGTACTGCAGGATTTTGATGGATTCAGGATACCTCTATATTGAGCAGTTGGGGGACTTTGATGGATTCAGGATTTCAACAGATTTACTCCCGGCTAACTGGTGGATTCTGATGGACTCACTGGCCACCAACATTTTTTTGCATGGCAAAATTGATGGATTTTGGCGGATTCGGGACACTTTCTGGTAAAAATACCCAAGGGGTTAGGGTTAAAGTAGTTCTTGCTGGAAAATTCAGCCAGGAATTACTGGTGAGCACTACTTCATATATTTTCCTATACTTGTCCTTCCATTGAACCCCTTGGAAGCTTAATTGACAATTTAATTTGTTCACTTACACTGACTCAAGTCTAATAACTGATAGCATAATTTAAGTACTGTGATGGAAAAAGTACAGCGCACATGGATGTAACTGGTCTTTTCCTGAAGTAATTATCGCAATGCTTGCATTTTAATAGTCAGGCCCTTCATAACCACGGCCAATTTGAGGATTGTAAAACCGTAAAATCATGGAATGCAAGTGTTGCCTGATATTGTGGGCATTTATTTTTCTTGATGGATGTTATACAATGATCCTCAAAATTTGTTCCTATTTTTGAATTTCAGTGGCTATACATGGATGTGTTTTGCAGATTTTTGGGTCGGTCGGGTGAGGGCAACAAAACTATTTTTCTTGGGGGGGGGCCCTAACGTGGAGATTACTGGCATCCATCAGTTACCATACATCACGATTTGTTTACCATACATCACGATTTGGCAATTAAATTAGGTATGTTTTAATAGTATACCTTTTTCTTGTGTCAAGGGTAGCAATGGCCTCTAAGAGTTTTGCATGGCACTTTGGTCCTCCAGATGTGACCTGTTTGTAGTAAAACAAATATTACATGTTAATTTACTAAGGCCTACCCTATTGTGACAGCCCCTACCCTAATTTTTTTATTGGAAAAATGAGAAAAAAACACCCAAAACCATCCATTTCTACCTTATCGTTTTGAGCTATTCTGAAGATAAGATGATATCCAATCAAGAGCAGTTCCAGTGATTCCACCGTGCTTGGTAAAGGTTTGTGGTTTGTCCTACTCTTAAATGATACTGGCTTACAATTGATGTGTGATCCGGCTCGTCTACTTCTGGTACGAAATATACCAAAGCTCTTAGCAACGTTGTACACAGATTCAGGTACAGTATATGGTTGCTAGCATGGGATCTCAGAGCTAGCATTTGATGTCTTGTGTACTGCATTAAACATGGGCGTTCAAGCTGATCCGATACATTGTTGCTTAACTCCATAGTAAGGCATGCCATTGTGTCTGACAATAAATTTAGAGCTGTATTCACCTCAGTGTAAGACACTGAAGCAGCAGTTACATGTAGGTGTGTACTGACATTTAACACAAGCCAAGGTACGTAGTGCAGCAAAATCATCTTGCAGATATATTTTGGAAAAATGACAATTTCCTTCCACCCAGAGATGAGGAAAATATTTTATTTACATAAAATACACCAAATTGCCGAAACCAGGGTTGGCGTTTTTTTTTTATTTTTTTTTTTTTTTTTCAAATTTCAGATTTATTTGATTTAAATCAGATTTTTTTGATTTAAATCAGATTATTATTGTCTAAATCTCCCAATCCATCCTTACACCAATCACTAAAGAGTTTAAAGGTTCCTATAATACCAATCATCCACAAAATGCAATAATTTTCAATGGTACATTAATACCGAAGACATTTTAAAGGTGCATTGCTTGATTGATACAGCTGAGATACGCTGTGTGTGGATACCATGAAGATATGAGTACAGTGTTACCAGCCCTTCATTCCTTGATTGTGATTATGTACATGATTGTGTGATAAATGTTTTTCTTTCTAAATAAATGCATTCTGTTTTTGCAAATAGACCATGATTATATTGCAAAAACAGAAAGCATTCATTTAGAAAGAAAAACATTAATCACACAACATAATCACAATCAAAGTATGAAGGGCTGGTAACAACAGTTCTCCATGGGCAAGCTGATTTCATAAAAATGCTTCTAATTTCATAACCGGCAGCACTGATCCTTGGGTAACTAAGTTAAAGTGTTTGATTGATGGTCCTTCATACAAGATGGAGAACAGAAGTCAGGTCTTGCACCTTTAAAAGGTACAAAAATGTATTAAATATATATCTCAATCTCATTTTTTATGGACAAATATTAGGAATAAGACTATCAATTGGGACTTTAATACACCTTTTGATGGTGCAGGTAAGCCTACACCAGCACAGTTGATTCACAATATGACTCTAAAAGATCAAGGGATGATTAAAGCAAACATGAGTGTGCTGTCTTTAAAATTCAAACTTTGAAGAAAAACTTTGAAATTCAGATCTTGATTTTCAATCAAAACATGATTTTGTGTAATTATACAGAACCTAAGTTGAGTCAATGCTGATGAAGTGGGGGTGTTTGAATGTGTTAACAACATCTTACACTCTGTAATTAAGTAGAATCAGTTGATTTATATGATTTAAATGACACTCAATCAATTTATTTTGCCAAAAATAAGATTTTTACAAAACAGTGATTTAAATCAGTGTTTTTTTTATAAAAATCATTTGATTTAAATCGCGATTTAAATCAGTGATTTAAATCAACGGGATTTAAATCAGCCAACCCTGGCCGAAACAGCCCTGTGTTTGTCCACAAACATAAAATCTAGGGTTTTTTTTAATTTTGTGTTACATTGATATCAATGTACCCTAATATCTTGGAAAGATCCATTTCCGATTTGAAACGGTGAAAAAGTAAAGAAAATGTTCACATGAAATAACACCCTTACACTAGAAAATGATGTGGTCCAACTGCCCTGAACACAAGAGCTGATGATGTTTGAAGTGTTTTTGTACATTGTACCGGTACATTGTAACTCATTGGTTCATGTGTCACTACATGAAACACTTTCCATAAATTTGCCATGTACAGTATGTAAAATATGCGTGATCGATATGACATGCCCCCAAAACTATTTCCTTCCCCCCCCCCATTGTCCCCCCCCCCAATTATATAATCTGGCGCCGCCACAGGACAGATACCAAGAAATATTGAATGCTTTCAGTTGGGCATGGACACTGACTAGAAAAATCTCTGACCGCAAGAGACAAGTATCTGACTTTGCCTAAAGTTACAACTGTTCCAGCACACGTATGTTTCAGCCCCATAGACCGTGCGTGCATTTAGTTGGTCTTCTCACGCATGCGTAATGGTTTTCTCTGCGTGGTCGGCTTGCAAACAGCGGTAGCAGACGACGCACTGAACGATTGTCTGGTTTTCATGTCTTAAAATGTATCCTCAGGGTTCGACCTTAGCGGTGGTCCGCTGGCCAAATGCCAGTTGAATTGCCGTCGGACCAGCTGAAACACCTTGCTAAGTGGTCCGGCTGGCCAGCTGAAAAAAATCTGTGTCAAAAAATGCTTGTTGTATTTATTTGGTTTCTTACTTACATTCGCTATTTTTTTTTGGCGCGGCGGGAACCGGTCATCGCTGCAATTAAGAAGAGGTGATGAAAATGTGGTAACTAGTCTGTGCACGGCTATGCGATCGATAGCGCTAGCAAGGCTATGCATTGTGCAGGTACATGTTCTGTCAACTGGTCGGATTCGACATCGTAAAAATGCCAAGAAAACACCGATAGAGAAAGAACATTTTTGCAAGTTAATTCACAGAATTGATCTAGCTTGTCTGTGTATGTATTTTCCGTGTTCAAGAGTTCATTTTGAGATCACTCTACTCGTATTTGATGTGATACAATGCATCGTGTTTTCCGAAATTTTCGACCATAAAAACAAGGTCTGTTGGCTGCGCCACACACTGCACAGTGCATCACACACTACGGAGTTTTGGCCAGCTTCCCGTATTGACTAGCGTTGTGCATAGGCTTTGGTGCGAACAACCTGAATTTTCCATTATTCTTTACGAATTATCAAATGTTAATATATTGACAATAAGGCCAAAAAAAAAATAGCTCTGCTTCCGGCTACCCGACCGACCCTATTTTTAGGCTGCGACCCTAAAAATTGTATCGGCAATTCCCCGACCCTAAAAATTGTATCGGCAATTCCCCCCCCCCCCAAAAAAAAAAGATTGAATAAATAAAAATAAAAGCTTGTTGTCTTTTCTGTCTTAACAAAATACCTCTCAACAACCCTTTTGCATAAAAAAAATGCTTGTATTTATTTGTTTTCTTACTTACATTCGCTTTTTTTTCAAAAGAAACCGTTTTTTTTACAAATTCGCTTCGCGATATAACTACTTCGCAATTCGATGTCACGGTGATTCCTCCATGCTATAATCACGTGGCGACGACTGGTTCCCGCCGCGCGCGCCGCGCAGGGGCCAATTTAGAAGATATGATGAAAATGCGGTAACCAGTCCATAGCGCGCTAGCAGTGCAGGCCACTATCAACTGGTCGGACTCGACATCGTAAAAATGCCAAGAAAACACCGATGGAGAAAGAACATTTTTGCAAGTTAATTTACAGAATTGATCTAGCTTGTCTGTGTATGTATTTTCTGTGTTCAAGAGGTCATTTTGAGATCGCACTACTCGTATTTGGAGTGATACATGCCGTGTGTTTCCCGAAATTTTTGACCGTAAAAACGGGTCTGTCGGCCCATGGTGGGCCGATCGCCACACACGCATGCATCACACACCTCGGAGTTTTGGCCAGCTCCCCGCGTCTTGACTAGCGTTGTGCATATGGTGCGAACGACCTGTATTTTCCATTATTTTTTGAAATTATCGAACGTAAATATATTGACAATAATTAAAGGTAGGTTTTATTCACTTTTTGTTGCCATTTCGTGTATAGCTTTCGTAGTGCAATGGAAATAGTTCAGGCTAAAACTTCGCATTATTAAAATTGAATACCCCATTCAATCTGCATAAAAAAATTGGCAAAAAAAAAAAGAATTTCCGACCGACCGACCCTATTTTTGAAAGGCATGTAATCGGAAGCAGAACTATTTTTTTTGGCCTAATTAAGGTAGGTTTTATTCACTTTTTGTGGCCATAATTTTGTGTATAGCTTTCGTAGTGCAATGAAAATAAATTTTGCTAAAACTTCGCATACTGAGGCCTAATTGAATACTCCATTCAAGCTGCATAAAAAAAATTGGCCCAAAAAAAAACCAAAAATCCGACCGACCGACCCTATTTTTAAAAGGCATGTAATCTGAGGCAGAACTATATTTTTATTTGCGGCCTCAGATCATGGAGGAAGAAAATAGAACTCTATTGCTCAGGTGACATGATGACATGGGTGTTGACTATTATACAAATAACGAATGTTTGTGAGTGCGATGGTAAGAATAATTTCATGAGGTGACAGATTGAATGTTCTATTCCACGAGGCGAAGCTGAGTGGAATAGAACATTCAATCTGTCACCGAATGAAATTATTCTTTCCATCGCACGAACGTAAAACATTAGTTATTTGCTTTATACAACACCTGAATAAATTCTCGTCATTTGATTGGTAAAATATAAACTACAATTTATTTGATTTTAAAGATGTTGAACTACCCCTTCACGAAAATGAACCCAACGCTGTAGCGCTGGCTCTTTGGAACAATACGCGCTACGCTGAACGCGCACACCAGCATGCATTTTGCACGCAAATACCGCGTCATGGAACAAGCGCAAAGTGAAACGGTATAACGCATGGGTATAACGCATGGTCGCACCGTGCATTATACCGAATAATAATATGTCACGTGATCTACAATTCACCAATCAGATGATGGGGATTTATTCAGGTGTTGTATAAATGAGTCTAATTTTTTATGTGAAACTGATTAACTGGTGGGTACACGCTGTATAAGACGGACCAGTCAAAAACCTGGCGGACCAGTCAAAATTCTAGCCGACTGGTCCGGCTGGCCAGTCAAAAAAAAAGTTAAGGGCAATCGTTTCAGTTAAACGTATACATTTCCAACGAGTCGAAAGATTACAAACGGCGCGCCGCGGCGCGTGGCTAGCCATGTTTACGGGCCAGATTCCAGGGTCTGTGTACAGGTACGTGCACACTAACGTTACATTCAACGAAAAAAAACATGTAACGTGAGACCTTACTTTTCTCATTGAAACGGTTTCCGACTTAAATGATATTTATACATCGCACTTTCCGTGGCATCCTTTACCATTTTTCAGTGAAGACAAGTTTACGAGTACTCGGCAAAACTGAAAAATTATCCCCTAAACTGTCGCCTGTTTTGAAGTTGTGACCCAATACTTTCGTACTACACGACACGGAAAAACAAAAAAATTGCATCAAATACTCTGTTTTTTTGCGCTAAGGTTTGCAAAAGTGACTTTGATTGCCTTAAATTCCTGTCCACGTTTCAGTCAATATCATCAGCCTCAAATATTTTGCCATTACTTTAAGCAAAATTGGATAATTCAACCATAACCCTCCTCAATCCTCCAAAATCCTCCAGAAAGAAAAACACAATTTACTTTTTCAGTCGATATTTATGTCAGTGAAAGGGAAATATGGCACTGAAATTCCAGGACTAGAACAAGAGCTTAGAATTTAAGGAAAAAGTGCTTCTTACAAATGAACCCTTTACTTTACCTCCAGCGATTTATCGGTACCGGTATCTTCATTGCTGCTGATGATCTTCTTGTTTTTAGGCTCCCTTTCATCAAAGAACCTGACAGGTAGAAGGTAAAGGAATGCCAGCAGGAAATTATTTGATAATTTTGATTGCTTCAAAAGGACCATAAAGTAGGTCATACATGTACATTCTCCCACACAAACCTACACTTCATTGTACTGTATTATTGAAAAACATCACAAATGCCGATACCTTTCAGCAGAAGTACATGTAAGTCCATCATTTAAAACAAAGCCTTGGTCAAGGCATTCGTCATTATTTGTCTGTACGCGGTAAATGATCGATCGGCGGCATATCCCCGTTATGCAGTGCATTAAAAATACAGCATGAACAGCGACCTCACGCTGCCACTATTTTACGCAAATCATTTGGATCCAGACAAACGCCTTGGTCCAATTGTCCATGTGAGGTTTGGGGGTGGTGCTCACAATGCCAATAGCCTAAGCTGACCTTAAAGTCGTTTTTGTAATGGTAGATAATGGAAACTTGCATATAGTTAGCGGGTGGTACTGGCGAGACATGTACTGTACAGTACCGTACATACACACACAGTGTGTGTCGATGTCTCACATTACACACAGCACCAATGCACAAAAAAATGGGGTTTCTGACAAATCCGCAAAGGGCCAATAGCTGCAAATGATTTGATGACGTCGAGATTTACAAAGGTGTGATTGGACACTCCACATACATTTGTACACATATCCATATTACCCCCCCCCCCCCCCGTGTTTTCCATATTCCAAACCACTCCCACGTTGACAAAAAAAATAGCCAAACCTACATAGTGCATATAAATATGTGGAGATTCCGCAAGGCAAAATGTTACCTTAACAATAATACATGTTAAATTCTTTGGGAGGGGGAGGGGTCGTTGCTCATAATGAGCACTGGAGTAGGAAGAGGGGTGACAGGGGGTGGGCTGTGAGATGGGTACGCCTGTTGGTGTAAATTATGAAAGCTTCACTTGCAAATTGATATCTATTTACAATTTTAATTTAGGCAAATACATGTACATGCAGAAATCAAAATCTGAATTTGGTGGCAAGGGAAGGGGCGGGGCCTAGCTGAGAGGGGAGGACTGGACATCATTTGAATAATTGTGCACTTCAATCAGAGGACAATTGATATGGCCATTATTATTCATTGCGGCTTGCAAACACATGAGTTTTGCCCATGTGACAATGATTTTACCGACAAATCCAAGTTATTGGTGGGTGGTCACACCCCACCCTCAACCCCAAGCAATGCCCCGGGGGTGGGGGAAGGGGAGGCTGTGAAAAGGAAGTCTATGTAATTTCTATTGTGTTCACTTGAATATTATTTATTTATATTTGTTTCGTTATGCAACATACAAGTTCAAAATTCGGTGGCGCAGGGGGAGTGGGCGGGGCCTAGCCAGGTGTGGGGGGAGTACACGACCTACTATTCATCCGCTGGTCTAAAAATGATACACAGTCTGATTCTGTTTGTGAAAATGTGCTAGATTCATGAACAATACCAATTATACAAGTTCTTACTCAAAACAAAGGAAAACACTGAAATGACACTTTTTAAGGTTTTTGTGAAATTTACCATTTTTGGAGCGCTACTGCACAAAGGCTATACAATAGGCCTAACCCAAAATTTTCTCACCAGGTATGAAAAGACCAATGTCTGAACTAACTATAAGCGAAGGGAAATTATTCTGAGTGCCCTGGCAAGTGCCATTTTGGAGGAATAAAAATGGGGTAAAAAGTGCAATTTTGCTAGTTGTAAAAACATGCTGTATTATAGGGCCTAAAAATAATATTAAGGAGATTTTTCAGAAGTGTTTCTATTTTTTTTCTTGTAAGGGTAAGGATGATACTTTGTCGTGATACAGTTACTTTTGTGACATTACTTTGCAGTTTGGCTTGATGACCTTTGAAAATAACGCAAAATATGAATTTTTGCAGCCTCAAAATTGCCCAAAAGTGGCCAAAACACATAATGGCCCGTAACCATGGCAACGGGCAAAATAAAAGTTTAAAAAGTCTATTTTAGTTACTTGCTCCCTAAGTCCTTCCATCCCACAAAGTTTAAACAAATTCAATTTTTTGAGCGTGGACACTTATATGAAGTATTTACACGAAATGACTCTTAATCGCTTCACAACACACATTGCCAACACATTTCTACCTGCCAGCCAGTGTGGTTTCAGGAAGTACAGCCGACATGATCTTTGCAGCCCGGCAGCTACAAGAGAAATGCAGAGAGCAGAATACCGACCTCTGCTGTGTCTTCGTCGCCTTGACAAAGGCATTCGACACCGTTTGTAGAAACGGGCTCTGGAAACTCCTGTCCAAAATTGGCTGCCCTGAAAAGTATATCGAGATGGTGAAGCAGTTTCATGATGGTATGATGGCGCGAGTAACGGACGATGGGGAGTCTTCAAAACCCTTCCCAGTATCAAATGGAGTTAAACAAGGCTGTGTCCTTGCACCAACGCTCTTCAGTGTCGTGTTTGCTAGCATGCTCCTTGATGCTTTCCGTGACATCAACATAGGCGTGAAGATGTGATTCAGGACTGATGGAAAACTCTTCAATCTGAGAAGACTTCAAGCAGAAACAAAGGTATTCCATGAATAGTTCGTGAACTCATATGTATGCTGATGACTGTGCTCTTGTCGCCCACACCCAGGAAGACTTACAACTCATCATGGACTGCTTCGCAACAGCTTGCTCACGCTTTGGACTTTCAATCAGTCTGAAAAAGATAGAAGTGATGTTTCAACCTGCTCCAAGTAAGCCATATGTTCCACCCGTTATCACCATTGGAGATCACATCCTTCATTCTGTTGACATACTTTACATACTTGGGCAGCACCCTGTCAAGAGAGGTCCACATAGACCAGGAAATCACAAATCAGATATCCAAAGCCAGCTCAGCTTTCTAAAGATGTCGTGAGCGTCTGTGGAATAGAAGAGGCATAAGCTTGAAAACAAAGCTGCGTGTGTATCAAGCTGCAGTCCTGACTTCCCTGCTGTATGCCTGTGAAACTTGGACAACCTACAGCCGCCACATCAGAAAGCTGAACCACTTCCACCTTTCCTGCATGCGCAAGATCTTGCGCATCAGATGGTAAGACAAGGTCCCTGACACTGAAGTCCTCAAGCGAGCGGAATTGCCCAGTGTAGGTGCTTTGATCATGAGAGCTCAGCTTCCCTGGTCAGGTCATGTAGTACGGATGCCCGATGATCGACTCCCCAAAAAGATCTTTTACGGTGAACTAACAACAGGCAAAAGATCGGCTGGTGGTCAATTCAAGAGATACAAAGATTGCCTTAAAGCAACCATGAAGAAATGCAACTTCAATGTGAGTAGCTGGGAAGAACATGCCCATGATCGAACGGCATGGAGAAAATTATCACACGAAGGTGCATCAAGCTTCGAAGCCCGTCGCATCAGGGAGGCTGAGCTGAAACGACAGCAACGAAAGAGATGCTTCCCTACGTGTCCAACGCGTCCAAAATGGAGAGAGCGCATGCCTTCAGCCTAGAGGGGGTACTGGTATGCTCACGATGCGTATGCGATGTATGCAGTAGGACACCCTTTTCAACACCGATGCATGCAGCAATCACGGGCCGTGCCAAACCACTTTTCACTTGACACTTCTTGGAAACCGCAGTACAGGAAGTCGATGCCAATACGTGACTTGTTGAATGCCGACTTACCCAAAGGATTTTGTAATGCGTTTTATGGAAAGGGGACTGACAGTAACACGACGACTTGAACGAAATGGCGACTTATAAAAGCCGACTTAGTTGAGTACTTACCTAGAAATCTTTGTGTGCCTATCCGCTGGTTCAGGATGTGTCATTTCGAAGAAATTTGCCAAAAATGAAGACCCATACGAATGCGTAGAAATACAATTTTAACGTTAACTGGATAAGTACCCAGGGTCAATTGCGTGCAAAATTATCGGAGCCCTCCGAGCTACCCGTCTGCTTCATGTGACACATGTGATTATGGTTGTCGCTTGGACAGATTGACGGCTGTTTCATGTCGCATCCCAGATCATGTGGGGAGGACGGCTACTACGTCTTTTTTGACCGTAAAAAGAGCTATGGACTGTCTTTTGGTGAACTTAATTAATATCCCAGTTCACCAACAAGATCAGCCAGGAGAGAGAGGAAAGGAATGGAAACTTGTCTAAAACGATGACTATCTTAGCTGCGACAGAAAAAAGCCATTGAAACATAGGAAACAAGACAGTATAATACAATGCGCATGCGTCAGTTGGGGAAAGTCCAACCTCGTCTCCTGAATAATATTCAGTTTGTGTCATGAAGGGACGATTTCACTAGGCCAAGGGCGGATCCAGGGGGGGGCCAAAGGGGGCCATGGCCGGCCCCCCCCCCTCCCAAAACGAAACCAATTTTTTTTTTTTTTATGTGACATCGCAATAAAGGCAGGCAATGAGTACACCACCATCTTTTCCTCAAAAAAACATTGGTTAAAGTGGTCAGAAATTGCCTCAGATCGCACCACAGAGCATCTAGAATCCAAATTGTTTGACCCACTTTTTTGGGGGACCAAATTTTTTTTTTGGCCCCTCCCAAAATTGTGTTCTGGATCTGCCCTTGCACTAGGCTCGAAATGGTAACGGACTGTGGCGTAGTTTACAAGCCACGTTCACGGGTCTAGGGACTACCTGACCAGCTGACGCTACTTTTTTCTTCATATATCCTTGAGTCACCATAATTGACGCTTGCAACGCGCGCGCGTTGTCCAACGCGATTTTGAACATGAGTGCGGCAAAACATATCATCGTCATTTTAGGGGGTCTGACGATATCAATTATTATCCCGAAAAGATTCCCATATCTGGGTATCAATAATTTTTCCCTTCAGTGAGCTATCAGCCTACTTCCAGAACTGTAAGGTTTTTACAAACCTCACAGAAAGACCAATTGAAGTTGCTGTAGCAGAACATTTTCAATTTTTTCTAAACTCCAAACTCTCCTGTCCGGAAATGTTCGGCCTCAAAATTTCACAAGTATCTTTATGTGGAA